CCCCAAAACCCCAAAACCCCAAAACCCCGCTAATCAAATGTGTAAATATTTATTATAATTAAAAAAGTAAATATAAAATTTTGTCAAGCAATAATTAATGAAAGTCATCAGAAACTATTCTAAGAAGTCAAAAGTTATTACAGACCATCTAAATGATGACCTTAACTTTATATTTAGATCGGATCTTAAAGATGAATTGAACAAAAAATAGATATTAACTACGAATACATCTAGCAATTAATTAAACAGCAGCAAACTCACAAGTCAAAGAACAATCAAGCAACCACTTCCAAGCTAGATATTTATTCCGAGGCCTAAGACAGAGGGCGAACAGCAGTAATGTCAATTATTTTAGTCTTCATTCGCTACTCAAGCTACCCAAAGAGAAGAGGCTTTTTTAAGACAGCAGAAGCAGGTTGAATAGTATTTAGAAAGGCAGCAGAAAAAGTAAATTTATCAGACTGAGGTGATGAAAAGAATGTAGGAAAGGACAAAGATCAGAGTTATAGCTAGTCAGGATAAAATTAAGGACTCTGCTAAGTATATACTTGACCAGAAAAGAAAAAAACAACAGCTTATTACTATCATGCTGAGCTCATACTTAAACAGTCGAGAGCCCTAAAAGATGCTCAAGAGTTAAAATCGATCTAAAGATCAATCAGAGTAAGTTACTGAATAATCTTTCTCGAAGATGAATAGTGATTACAATAGCAACAATTAAACTTAGAACTCTCTAGGTAAAACAAATGAGTATGCAAAATTCATGCAAGGAAATGGAATATATCCTCAAAGATAGCTTTAATAAAAGAATCAATAATTCCTAGAAAATAGCATAAAGAATATAAAGGCAGGAGACTATCCAATGTATCAATGACCAAAGACTGCTATTAACGAAAGCTTGAAAAAGTATAAATCAAATCAATCAAGCTAGCCTGAAATCTCAGACGGCCAAACTTAGCATTCTGTATATATTAAGTCAAGAATGAAAGATCCATTTGGGAATAATTTCTTAGTGTCCTCTATTAAATAAATAAAATAGAAGCAAAATTAGCAATAAAGCACACCCCCTCCGTAAGCCTTGAGTTATTAATCTACAAGTTAAGTGTCAATAAAAGGCTTATTAAAGCAGAATCTGTCCAAAACATAGAGACCTGTGAGTCCCTTTACAAAGCTAGGTATGTAAAAAAGAATGGAACTAATAAAATAGACTTAGCAAAAGTAAAACTTATAAGTAAAGCCTTACAAATTCCTAGATCTCAAATAAAAATATAAGGAACTTTAGATTGTTGCTTCTAGTACATAATACAACTCTAGAGTAAAAAGTTCGAGCCCTTCGCCTAATAGGACTAATACATATCGAGTTTCTATAAATCAAAACTAGACAGTAGGATTTATGAATTTAAAAACAAACGGGAAAATCGATGATTATGAAGATAACGGAGGAGGGCTTATGTTTTTCAATTATTAAAGCCGAGAAAATATGAACAATGAAAGTTCAAGTAAATCCCTTTAGAAGAGACCCAAGACTGCCTAGCCTAAAGGAATAAGCCATAGGCTTAATAAGAAGGCGAATCATCAAATGGAATTACAAAGAGATTAAAATAATGAAGATGTAAGGCCCAAAATAAAAAGGAGAGCGAGAAAAAGAAGTGATATGAAGGAGGATACAAATACTTTGAGATGTCATAGTTCATTCGTTGAGAGGATCATTCCAAAATAAAAATCTAGCAAGACCATAGTCAGAAGACAGCTAGACTTTTATCATGATCATCTTAAAAATCCAATAGATCAGATTAAGCTCAGCAATATCATATAAGATAAAGATAAATAGAACAGATATAGAGTTAACAACAGGATGAAGCTGCTAAAAAACAAGCAACTGCATATATTTATAGAAGGTAAGCATTAGGTTGAAATCTCAAAAGAAGCAAGTCTAGCACAATCAAGGGACAATTCTATTGATATTAGAAAAGAATCATAATGAACTGATCTTAATTTAATAAATTTAATTTACTAATTAATATGATTTTGGTAACTTGGGGTTTTGGGGTTTTGGGGTTTTGGGGTTTTGGGG